TTATTTGAATTATTTTATCAAAATAATTAAATAATAATATATTTATTTAAATTAAATTACTAAATATTAAGATATTATATTTATTAAATAATTTTATAATTAATTTTAATATTATTATTAATATTATTATTCTTAATTAATAAAAAAAATAAATTAAATATAAATATAATTAAAAATAAAAAATATAGAAATAATAAAAATAATTATATATACTTGAAAGAGTTAGATAAATTTATTTATAAATATAAAAGACTTAATATTAATATAATATTAATAAACTTAATATAATTATTATTATTATTATTAAAAATATTAATATAAATAATTATTATTAATTATATATATTAAAATTATATTAAAAGAATTAAATATTAATATATTTTGGATTAAAGATGATAATTTAATTAATTATAACTTGTAATAGTTAATTAAAGAATTATAATTTAATTATACTTAATTGTAATAGCTAATTAGAGAATTATAATCAAGTTACAACTAATTATAATATTATTTCTATTCTAAATCAAATTGAAATTTGAAATAATCTGATTAATATTTAAAAATCTGATATATTTATATTATATAATCTTTTTAAGATATAATATCTCAAGATTTAATAATAAAAATTAAGTATAAAATTTTATTTGATTCATTAAAACTAAAAGAATTAAATAATAAACTTTATAGTAACTTATAAAATAAATAAAATAGAAAAAGTTTTATAAAAAAATTTCTAGTATCTCTAATATTAATTAAATATATCTGGTTTTTATACTTCTTTTAAAATTAATAATTTAGAAAATAACTTAAAAAATATATGTGATAATTATAAAGATCAGAATAAAAATAATTTTATTCTTTGCTTTTATTTATTTATAACTTACTATAATTTAAATACTTCTAAATAATTGAACTTAATTTTATAATTCCTGGTTATACTAAGTTCATTTGCCATTCATATTTTGAAAAAGTCAAATTTTTATATTATAGATCCAATATTATGAGCATGAGTCATATCAAAGTTATTATTAATCAGTTTAAAAAATCAAGTAGAGATTTCGAAACTTATCTTGAATCTTTATCAAACATTCCGACATCTTTATTTTTTACTATGATCAGCCTGGAAAAATATTTTTATCCTTGTAATTATAAAGATGAGTTATGCTTTATTATTATTGCAAAAATTATGTCACTTCCTTTAGATTAACATATTATATTTAACTGCTAATCTAAATCTAGAATGGAAAGACCGACATAGATCAAAATTTTAAGCACTCAAAGCGCATTTTATGCTATTGGACAATCGGACATCTATTAACGATTTACCGCAGAAAATTATTTTAGGCTTTTGTTATGGAACCTAAAAGTCATTTGAGTTATTGAATTTATTCATTTGCAAACAAATTTATAATGTAAGAAAAATGAATTATTCGTGTTGTCTATAATTTGGCCGGAATATAGATACGATAATAATATTTATTCGCTTATATTGCCAATTGCGTTGTAATCTTTTCATGTCAACACTGCATTTTGCCGTTCCATCTTTAGAAAATAAAGACGACTGATAGACGATTTTTTTTATTTGATGATTTGAGTGAATGAATAAATGAATCAAATTAATTTATTAAAACAGAACAGAACAGAACAAAACGCACAAAAATTAATGAAGGTCTGAGGTGAGTAATAAACGTCGGAAAAATAGGAAATCAGAAAAGAATGAATAACAAAACTTCAATGGATTATGTATTATAGGGATGATGTTGATGATAATGCAATAATTAGGTACAAAAATGAAATGAATGTAAAATGAATATAATTATGGAAGGAATGAAATTAAAGGCAAGAGATTTTTGAGATTCCCAAAAAACATCCGAATCGAGATAACTATTTATTGTCTAAATTGCACGTGTGTTAAGACTATTATGAAAATAGGCTTCGTGCTCCAATATTGCTAGTTAAGCTATGTTCCAACAAAAACATCTCAAAATCCTGCCATCCGCCTCCCACTCGAACAGTGACTTTATTTTTGGAATTTGGGTTTGGATTTAATCGACAAAGGTAAATCTTTTTGCCGGAAGATGACCCTTCATTTCCAAAGCAATATTTGCCTTTACCACCTGGCGCACGCTCTATTTTGACTGAAACCGGATGTTTATTCACTATCTTTGCGACTTCAGCATCTAGTGGATCATTTTTTAGCGGAACATATTTCGGATGATTTTTCATTTTCATATTTTTTAGTGTATCTATTATGTATTCCTCGTTTTCATCATGTTCATAAGCTTCTGGTGTCATGGGGCGCGAAGCATCACTGGCATTCGAAGAAGGAGTAGGAGATCGTGCTTGACGAGCTTTTGGTACATACATACTTGACATCATACCAGGTGATGGAGTACTTGAGGTGGGAAGCATTGAACGCATTCCAATTCGTGAATTAGCTCTACCAGCTATTCCCATACTAGTTACAGGCCTTGGTATTGCAGATGCATGTACACGTTCACCGGGGGATATTGGACGCGTGGCTGCTACTGAAGGCGACCTTATTGGTGAATTTGAACGACTTGGAGGTTTCGTTCGACCATAATATTTATCATAGCCTAACTGTGGTGATACTGATCGATATTGTGAATTGCTGAATCCATTATTATGATAAGTTGGACTATATGGCGAGGAATTATGTGGTTGTTGCAAATTGTGAGAATTCCATGGAGGTCTATGTTCTTGAAATGAAGGCATGGGAGGACTTTCTGATAGACGGCTATTTGCTGATAAATAATTTTGTTGTCGATTACCATATGGACTCAATTCTCGAGGAGAGGGTGATTTTGATCGTAATGAAGGAGATATAGCAGGATTATTATTTCGCGGAGGCGATAGAGCACGTTCTGTATGATGTGGTGATATGGGTCGATTAGGTTTTGGAGGTGATCCAACTTCAGGAGAAAAGACCCCTCTTACTGGTCGCATATTAGGCGAAATTGGTGGCGATGAAGCGATGGAAGATGGTTTTGAAGAAGGCGGCGAGTTACTAGGAATAAATGATGCATCCATTAAAGCTTCTAATTTAGGCATATCTCGTTGAACTTCAGCTACACCTTCCAAGATATAATCCCATCTTTCTTTCATTGATTTATATTTGTTGATAACTTCCCAATCTTTGGTCATCTCATTATTGATGTCATTCCCGAGTATCGTCAGCATTTTTGTAACTGCCGGAAGATAATATTTTCGTTTTGAATCGAAATTTTTGTAAAGCCTTTGGAAATTTTTGCTATTAATTTGTACAGGAGGTTGTATTATTGATTGTTGCTGCTGACCAAAGCGTTGTGAAGGTGAAGGCGAAGGTATTGCCATTCCGCGTGCTTGTAATTGCCTTATTGGTAATGGTGATTCGGAGCGATTAGTGGCACGTGAAATAAAATCTCTGCATTGTCGAACAGCTCTATCAAGTGAATCCATCATTTGATTTGCTTGTGTAGAAACTTGTTTGAATACTGTCAGCCATCGATCTTCTTTGAGTTCTTCTCGTAAAGATTTCATTTCACGATTCAATGCGTCCCACTTATTGGTTAAAATTTTATTTTTCTTTGCTAGTGCTCCAGTTGGATCAGAAGGAGCATTTGGAGCAGATAGACGAGATTTTAGATACTCTATTCGAGCTGAAAGTGGATCTAGACGGGAATCTAATCGCATTAATGCAACATCAGCACGTGAGCTTAATTCATTTCCAGGAGATACCCCTTGTGCAGCCGGAGTCATTGGTCTACTTCGACCACCATTCTCCTGTTCACTATGAACAACATTATCGCCTCCGATCATACCACTATGCCTATGTTCTTGATACTCGAAGATATTTGTGTTTAATTCCTCGATTGAAGCTAATATCTGATCCATAGTGTCCAAAAGTTCTCGTCTTTGTTTCGACTCTGACATTTCTTTCTTCACTTTCTGAAAGAAAGCCTTGGCCTCCATCCAATCGCCGTGTATTCTTTCAAAATTTTCAGTGATAGTTTTTTTGGTGTTCTCATCGTCTTCATCCGACTCCTTTAGCTGACTGATTATTTTTTGAGATAACTCTCGTAGCAAGTCAACGTTTGGAGCGAACTTGTGAATCAGAACATCCATTTCACCGACATTCTTTATGCTCATACCTTCTCGTACGTCAAGTTCAAGAGCGAATATGGCAATGTTTGCGTACTCTAGCCATAAGTCAATCTCTTTTGATGCAGCGTTAAATGTATCTACAAGATTACTGACGGGAAGCTCGCTATTCAGTGCATGGTAAATGCTTGTGTTTGGTACGGCTAATTCGTAGAGAGTCTGGACGTGGTGTGCAAAAGTTTGGTTGTCGGTTGGTCCAAACCGCTCAGCGGGAGGTAAAAAGTTTTGTTTGTTATTGTTGTTGTTTACGACGGGTTCGGGCATTTGGGACATTGAAATATTACGCTCTTTGCCCAGGGGCTTTTTGGTTTGTTATTACTCGTAGATTTTATTATCTTGCTTTTTTATGGTTGTACGAGGCTGCAACACAAAAAAACACTTGTACCTATCAAAAACCAGAATTTGAATATTCAGGCACTCTTCGTTTTCTCGCCTAATTAAATCAAGGAACCCAGCTAGGTGATGATGAATGCTATGCTTTCTTGGTTGTTCTGTTTTTGATGGATCTTTATGATATCTGAGAAGCTATACTATGATTAATATTACTGTGTTTAGTGATGAGAATTTTTTAAACAAGGAGAATATTATTATTACTGTTAAAATTAATTATTAATATTATGTTATGTACGAAGGAAAACGGAGCGGAAGCTAAAAAAAGACCCTTTATATAATTAAGTATATCAATTATTAATATATATTTTATACATACTAATGAAGATATTGACGCGCCACAAAGAAATTTTCGGGGTTCAAAAAATTTTTTGCACGCCACAATAAAAACAAAATAACAATAACGTAAACAACTGATTGGATCATCTGACTGTGCATATTACAGATGTCGATGAAAATTTTGATCGTAAACCAAAAAACACGTGGTATCTTTTCCTTCGGCTGACAGAGGAGAAGCTTAGTCATTTGGAATTACCTGCAGGCAATGTTGTCATTAGGACAGGAACATGGACGCGAATAATCCGCGTTCATGTGCGGCATTTTTTTTATGTCCGTGTTTGTAGTAATAATATGGCACATCACTTGTTAATTCTGGCTACCTCTATACGGACATCAGACGGGACGCTGACTCTTGGACGTGTCTCGTGTTCACCGAACATCGCCAGAAAACGTCCGTGTACAACACTGCCTACAAGACAAGCGTTATCAATCTTTTGGTTGAGAAGTTGAATGAGGCAACTGGTGAACCTGCTTACTCCGATATAAGTTTGTATATTAAGTCGATAAATATATTATATTTTTCATCAATTCGCCTTATAGAGAGATTGTTGTTTCATTACATGGAAGGATCAAAAAGAATTTCACTTTTTAATTCTATTGCAGAAAGCAGTGCTTATTAATCTTTATCATCGATACCGGAGCATCTGGTTGTGTCGCAAGTCACGAAACATTTGACATTTATCAACACCTTCTAAGCGCAGCGTGACCATGTGTAAAAATAACAAAAAATCTGCATTTAGAGAAAGTAAAACACATAACTAGATACTTGGGAGTTGACCCTATATATCTTGATCGCCTCTAATAACATGTGAATATGAGGTAAGCCATATATTGTATTCCGGTCGAGATGGTGGTGTCCCTTATCATAATCGGAGCGTAAACTTGAGGGAAGGTATGTGACAACAATTACGTCACAAGTTCAAAGAAGAGTTTAATCAAGCAGAGTTTGAAAAGTTTCTAGGAAAAAAATTACTTATTGACACAGATGGCATGAAACGTATTAATTTTTTGATAATTTCAAGTTCTCAGGTTCGATTATTGTTCAGATCTTTAATGTTATTTACAAGTACTACAGCGAAATCAGTAGATAATTACTTTTGTCTCAAAAAGAATCTTTATTAAATATCACCTTTCAAAATGCATTAGCAATTATCGTTAAATTAAAAATAAAAAATGAATAATTAAACATCTGTGGCACTATTGTGGCATTGGTGCCAATTTTGGAACCCTGAAAATTCTAAATGGTACAACGTCCTTTTTGTTGCACCATCGGCACGTCCCCCAAGGTGTTTGTATAACATGCATTGTGATTATGATAAAAAATGATGAGTTCCTTTATTTTATTTGTCGTTAGAAAAATGAAGATGGAACGACAATGAATTAGTAGGAAGCCACCAAGACCAATTATCGTCAAGCGTAATGCCTCTGTTTAATTGTTTATTTTGCATGTACGCGGTATATTTTTGGTATGTATGTAGTGGTATATAAATGTTGTGCTTATATGGAATTTTACTTTTGCAGGGCATATTATTCTTGTATTATTATGGTTATCATGAGCGTGGACACTAGAAAACGGAAAAAGTTTTTTTTGTCAATACTTATTATGCATGTATTTTTGGAGATTTTTTTACACTAATCGTTCTTATCGTTATTAAAATTCCGTAGATGTAGAAAAGAAACCTCTTGTTATTGATTCATTTCTATAATAATCTATCAAGAACGTGAAATCCCATGTGATATGACGAAATGAAATCTGAATGATATCATGCATATACGATTGTATCAGAAAACGGTTAGACGTTAAGTTATATCGTCGATCCATTTTAGAAACAGCATATAACATGTGCACAATATATAAATTAGAACAGATGTTGAAAGATTATGCGAAGTTGTGTCATTTAACTAATTTTGTGTCATGTGGAAATACATGTCAAAATGATTGATAGTTAAAAACGTAAGCTAATTAAGGAAACGTTTGTAGTTGCATGAATTACATTTGAATACAATTAGTGTCTTAATATTTTGAATCACATTAGTGTCCTAATATCAGATATTTGAATCACATTGAATACAATTAGTGGCTTCCACTTTAATTTTTGTAAAATTAATTTATCTAAGCATCTAAATTCAACTTTTCCAATACAGCATCAATCTGCGCCAACCTTCGGTTATACTCAGTTTCCCAATCAGTTGCGTCTTCTTCCTCGACTTTCCCACTAGCTTTATCAATATCCTCTTGCATCACGCTGTGTTTTTTGGCGAGCCAATAACGCAGATCATCAACAAAAGGAATTGAATCGGTCGCCTGTCGATCTTGAATAGAATGCGCCGATTCTTCAATCAAATTCAAAAAGCGTTCGTCATGCAAAACGTCGTTAAGATGTTCCGCGAACCAACGGCAACAGTATTGTTCCAGCCGATCAATTTCTAAATCGATTGCTTTCTTCATCAGCTTATAAATATCTTCGGTTGGTTCTTTTTGGTTCGTGAGCACAATTGCCGCCAAAGATTTCAACCTGTCAAATAGTAACATATCCGCTTTTATGAGAAGTTTATATGCAAGATGTGGCGGAATATTCTCGCATTTGTCAGTATAAATAAATTCTAATATTAATTCCAGAATCTCACAGGTGCAATCAGACAGTATAATGGCTGGCAAACCGTATTCTTCAGTTTTGGATAATCCCTCTGCGAAAGGACCATTGATTAAAATATTAAAGTATTCTGAGCGAGCACTCAACATTACTCTGTGACATGGATATAAAGTGTTCTCGACTCTTAGAAACATGTCATGATAAGGCTTTTGATGCTTGGATGAGTGCTTACTATTGTCAGATAATCCATTTGAATTATTTGAATCAGACGAGAGAATTCGTTTATTACCAAGTATAGCATCCCGAAAAAATGCACCAATATCTTGTTGCAATTCTTTGTCAGGTTGTCTAGTAGGAAGCTTGGAAACTGCACTTTGGATTGTATATTTTTCAAGTAAATTTCCAAGTTCAAAGAGCTTACATAAATCAACCATTTTTATGAACAAACCCTCTGGAATCTGTACTACTTCGCTTGTGTATATGTATCGAAGGATGGCTTTAAAACATGTTGGATCAACTGCTTTTAAGATCTCAAATGAGACTCGATGATGCCGATCATCTGATGAAAATTGATGATTATTATTATCATAATGTGTATTTTCTAGTATTTCAGTAAAGTAAGGACATCTTGCGCAAAGAATAAATCTATGCGCATAAAATTCTACAATATTTTCCGAATGTAATCTTTCATAATTAATACTATTGGCGGTCATCATTGAAAATGAGCTCGATCTCACTTTCAAAGCGATATCGCTGAAATGATCCAACGGATTCTCGTAAAAATGTGTCAGCACGTTGCGATAAGATTGGCTTTCATCAACCGCTTTAGTGAATTTGTAAGTTAACAATAATTCTCGAATTCGAGGTGTGAGCGCCCCGTATAGACATCTTTATATTATTAAATATTATTATTTCATCGAAATTATTGCTGACTACATATTCCATAACATCCGCTTACCTTTCACCTTCAAAAGTTTCACGCTCACATCTTGCTCCATTTTCGAGCAGAAAAGAAACAACTGTAGTAGAGAATAACGACCATATCAACCTTCAATTTAGTCTTTATTGTTAAAAAAAAAAAGATCATAAGCAAACCTTCATAGCGGCCACTGTTGGTATAAAAAAAAATTGATTGGTTAATTTCTTCATTAAATTCGAATATCCAAAAATTATAATAGAATCAACTTACCATAAACATGCGCAGTAAAGAGGCGAACATTGCCATTCATCAGAAGCGTTGATGGGCACCGAAAAATTCCGAACTAAGCTTGTATTTAAATTTATCGTTATCAATAAACTAGATCTGGGATTTTATATAATTTTCTGCATTTGATGTAAAAAGTTTGACACCTTTGAACTTTTTCAAGATCTCCAGACCGACAAGCTTCTAAGAGGTCTTTAAAACGGTCTTTAGTCCTTGCATCAAATTCATAATGAGTATTAGCGGAGTAAGGGTTTTGTTCTTTGAGGGAAATGATACTGGAGGTAACCATTTTTTAAATAAACTGTCTGACAGCAAATAAAGGTTTTTAACGTGTGGATGATTAATCAGGGTCATATGACTTAATTTTGAAGCTGACGCGCGCGTTAATTTCCCTATCGCTATTATTCACTTTTTTAAATTTTTTATTCTATAAAATGGTAAGCTTTTTTGAATTCATTCTGTTTCCACACTATATTATGTGTTCGCTCATAAATTTTTGACGTGTTTAGCCACCAAAAGGTCTTTCTGCAGCTGAAAAGCGCAGACGTCTCGAAGAATTATTTCATGAGACGGTAACTATAATAAGTATATACATAGTATTAGCAAAAGAAAAGACGCGTACGACTAACGCGTTTTTTTCTCCCTCCTTACGCGTTGGAATTTCAACCTTGCTATATATTTATATTAGAAAGAATTCTACCAACTTAAAGAGTTGGAAAAAATAGCTCCAAAGCAAAAAGGAATTGGTATATAGTTCATTTGTGTTCGATAATTATTATAGCCAATAACTAATAATATTATGCAAATTTAGTAATGCAGTCCGTGAAAGATGTTCTTCAAAGCCTAGTAGATGATAACCTCGTTTCGACGGATAGGATTGGAACTTCTAATTACTTTTGGTCTTTTCCTAGCAGTGCTCTTCAATCGGTAAGATATGACTTGACTTGATCACGTCATACATATATAATTATAATATATCGTACTTGATTATTAGCGTAAAGCCAAAATTGACGAATTAACCAAAGAACTTGAAAAATTAAAAGAAAAAAAATCAGAAATACAGTCAAATATTGAAAAGGCTAAAGGAGGACGCGAAGAATCGGTTTGTTTATCGAGAACGTCGATTTCTACATAAGTATCACATCATACAATTAAGCTCATTAGAATTTCGAATAGGATGATCGAGAAGAAATGTTAAAAAAATTAGCTGAAGCAAAAACGTTACAAAAGCAATATACTGATGAATTACAACGATATCGTGAATGTGATCCTACTTTGCTGGAGGTTAAAGGTATTAAATTTTGCTGCATCATTCGAATAAGTTGACGTGCTTCTCAGAGCTAATTTTCTTTTGAAATAGAAAAAGCTGCTAAATATGCACTTGAATCCGCCAATCGATGGACTGGTAAGAATTATAAATATAATGATAATGAGCAAAGAGCAAGATTAAGATTTTAATAATTATGTCTAAATATATACATCATTCTATCTATTATAGACAATATATTTCAACTTCAAACCTACATATGCGATAAATTTTTCATGCCCCGCGAAGACTTTTATTCACGTTTCGGAATTCCTGAAGATTTGGACACTATTGAGAATTGAACTTTTTCTATAAATATTGAAGACAGTACAAAAGAAAATAATAATATATTTAAGATGTAGTTGGCGGGCTCTGTTGTATAAATATCGATGGTTTAATATATTTAATGTCTATTTGTTACTTTTTAGCAATTTAAATAATATTAATATCTTATATTACGCTTCATAAATAATCAACAATTAATGTTCCTCGAATTCTTCACCAATTAATATATTTTCCTCGTCTACAGGCAAATTCCTATAATTTCTTGGGGCTCTTCTTCCGAATGAAGGACATTGCGACACTAATATCAAAAACATATCCTGCTCAAAAAAATTATCGTTAATATCATGAAATTGATTAAACCGATAAAATGAACATTTCCAAAATTACAAACCTTGACGAAATCCCATGCATCTCTCCAAAATTCCCAGTTAGGTAATTGACTGAAACCAACAGCATTATGTACCATTCGATTATAGACAATTCCTCCCATGAAATAAACCAGAAACGCAATAAAGAAGCTAAAATCATTGAATTAGTTAGAATATGCAAGTTTTGAATTAAAAATTAGAAAAATTTCAAAAGTTTTACGTACATCGTAAAGAAAACACCCCAACCACCCATATTTTCGGTTTTGCTTTCTGGGCACGCAACGGATGTTTTCCATTCAAATATATATACACATTCTCTTGAACTTAAAAGAAGCTTTGGAGCTCCTTGGCCCTCGATTGTTCTGTCGCATATAAAACGAATAAATGTTTCTCTTTTATTATTATCATCATCTGGGCATTTATCGCCATCCTTGTAATTTAAAAAAAGTTCATCGTCTATGAATCAAAATAATGAGATGAATTAATCATTATTTTTTCACAAGATTATCAGCTTCATACATACTTTGGATATAGAGTGTCGAGTTTTTCTTCCTACAAATTTTTATTTAATATTAGACAAAAAATTTAATAAATGAATCGTTTTCGTAAAGAATTAATTAATTGAATACCCTAAAGATATCCATTCGTCATCGGTTATTAAAGAAGCGCCATCTTTCGACTTATCTTTTAGACCCTCACAAACGTTCAAAGCAAACTTCTTTTCCGAAACTGCCACTTCGTAATATTCGCTGAAAAAAAAATGAAAAGAAAATTACAGAAAATACGCAAATAATATTAATAAAAATTATTACTCGGAAAAAACACTTACTTAGAATCCTTCCTTAGTTTTGAAAGATCATAACTTATTGTATCATTTTTAAAGGTACAATTTGGAGTTTCTTCTGCATTTACTTTCAATATAGATATTGAAATGAGCAAGCACGTAAGTGGAACTAACAAATTCTTCATAGTTCAAAAGAAAACGTAAACGGTACTATTTTTTCGGGCGGAGATTCCACTTCCCCATAGTTTTATGCATTATGTAGATCAGTACACGTATTCAAAGTTTCAAAATCCTGACACCAGACCAATATTAGCGTTAGCAAGATTTTAAATATATGTAACAAGAAATTTATGTCGCGAGAAGTTATGGTTCATGTCATCTAGGCTCATCAACGAAATTTTCTAGTCTAGTCCTCCAGTTTTTGAAATTTTAGATATTGGTAAATTAATAAATGAATCGAATTCGGACTGAATATACACGTGATTTATACTAAGTAGCCAATCAACATCATGTGATTTTTTTACTCAAATCGCAAGATCGATGTGTAACGAAAAAATCAAAATAAACGTTAATTTTGTCTAATAACTTTCTGTTCTCTAACAAAAAATATTTCTTGCAAAAATTTGTTATTAAGTTACTTACAAAATATATTCTCAATACTAATTCTAATTCTATTTTCATAGTAATTATTTTATGATTTTATTTGATTTACATATTTTAATAATATTTATTAATGATATAACTATATATTCCAATACTTTTGGATAATATTTACAATATCTTTAGAGAACTCACTCTTTAATTAACTATTTATTCAGTTATATCTTGAAGATTATAATAATTCAGATCATTAAGTTATCTAACAGAAATTCTTTTATTTTTATCAAGAAGCAATATATGATAAAGCTTAAACTAAAGCTAGAAAAGAATTAGTGAAAATAATATAATTATATTATTTCCACTTAGTTTAGATTATGTATAATGGATAGATTATGTATAATGGATCAATTACAGAACTCAAGTTATTTAAGTGATGGATCAATTACAGAATTCAAGTTATTTAAGTAATGAATCAATCAAAAAACTCAAGTTATTTAATATATGATTTTTATTTTTCATATCACTCAAATAATATGCATTTTGCTTTTTATGACATATATCAAAATAGCTAATTTTTATTATCAGGTCACATATAATATAATGTATATCAGCTTAATAATCATGACTAATTTTCATTATCACTGAGATATAGACAAAAAAAAATAAGATTATATTTTATGATTTACATATCATTAGTAGTAATAAAATTCTTGATTGTAGATTTATAAATAGATATAATATTTTTTAATTCATCTTCAGACTCAGAATTATAATCTTGCTCTAGCTTTTCTATATAAGTTTTGAAATTCTTACCAATTTTTTATATTAAGAATTATTAACTTTATATAATTTATTTAAATAATATTTAAGAATAAGATATATAATGCTGAATTATTAGCTATTATAATATATTTAAGTATCAATCAAGAATGAAATAGTAATATTAAATTATTAATAATTATTAATTTTATATAATTTATTTAAATTTTATCTAATAATAAGATATATAATACTGAATTATTATTTCTATTTGATAATCTGAGAATAAGATACATAGTACCAAATTATTATCATTTATCTCATGTTTATTTAAAGTATAATTTTTTATAATATATTTGTAATAATTTTATCTTGAATAAATATTAATTTTTTTTAGCTAATATACCTATTTTATATCTATTTAAAGAATAATTTTACTTTAATTAGATATCAATTTTTCAACTAGTATATCAAATAATATACTTATTTTATATTAATTCAAAGCATATTTTTATATATCTGTAATAATTTTATCTTAGATAGATATTAATTTTTTTTAAAATTATATAGTTAAAATAGTATACTCTATATCTAACTACTCTTTTTATAATAATTTTTTATCTTGATTAAATACTAATTTTCATAAAATTCATAATTATAATAATATATTTTTTATATCTATCCAAAGTATAATTATCTTTTCTATAATAATTATATCTTGATCAGATACTAATTTTTTTAAATTATATATTAAAATCATATCTATTTAATATCTATCTAAAGTATACTTTTATAATATTAGTAATTATATTTTAATTAGATATCAATTTTTTATTTATTATATGCAATTTTATATTTTAAATTTTAGTAATAGTTCATTATATAATACAAAAATAATATCAAATATATATCTTATTTCATATATTAGAAGTACTTATATATTCTAATAGATAAATATGTGAATTAGATAATCAGAATTTATCATTATAATTCAAAAATCTATTTTGATAAATATCTAATTATCTAAATTTATATGATACAAAAACTTCTTATATGATCTAGATATAAAAATATTAATTTTTTATTTGAATTTTTTCTTATACTTATTTATAAGAGATAATAAAAATTTCTTTATTTAGATATATAACTAGCTAAATGTAACAATCTCTCTTTTTTAAAAATTACTACTTAATTAAATAATAATATCTTGATATCTTTTCTTATTTTGCTAAAATATTTATAATAATTATATATATTTAATGAAGATTAAAGATTTATTTTTTAACTCTTTTTTATACAAAGTAGTAAGAACTTTTATTTTAGTCTCAAATTTTTGCTTATATTTCAAGAAAATGATTTCATTCATATTTTCACATTCTTTTTTCTAATAATTTTAATTATCTCACATTTTAAAAGCAATCTTAAATCTAATTTTTCTTGAAATATTTAAAATTTTTATTATAAATAAAAGATAAGTATATTCATATTAAATTTATTTTTAATAAAAAACTCTAAAAATAAAGAAATTAAAAAATTAAATATTTCTTATATTATTATGATATGAACTTTTAGTAAAATATTAATTAATTATATATTAATCGCTTTATATTACAATATAATTGGATAAATAATTATTTATATCTTATTGAACATTAGTTTTAAAAAATATTATTTATAGATATTTTTAGAAGATTTTGTAAATATAATAATCATAATAAAATTAGTATAGCAAAGTCAGTAAAACTATTATAGCAAAACTAACAATATTATCATAATAAAATTGATATTATAATACTAGCTAAAGTAATATTTAGATCATAACAAAACTAGTATAAGTATCATAATAAAAGTATTATTTATATAATCTTTAAAATATATAAAAATGATATATTTTAGCTAGTAAATTTAGATAGATAATTAATAAGATAGTTAATTAGTCAATAAGTTAATTAGTTAGTTATTTAGTTTGAGTTCTATGCATTTAATTCTCAATTCCTATTTAAGTAGATTTTAATTTTAAGAGAATTCTAAGAAATCTCTCTTGTAGAATAGATCTTGATTAAGATCTATTATTTTGTCTTGTTAATAAACTGAATATTATATCTATTTTGAAATTATATTTTAGAATTGAACTACATTCTAGTTAGTTATAACAAAAATATTATCATTACCTGTCTTTAGATAAATCTTAAAATAATAGCATTTATATTCTTATTAATAAATCTTTTAAAGACTTTCTTAATATTACTATAAGCATATAGTCACTTTTATCACATGCTTTTATAATATTAGAATTAGTACTCATCCTCATATTAAATTTGCATCAAAAAGATAACAACTTTTTAATACCTTTTCTATGAAAAAATAATTTCATAGGATTATCAAATTCAACTCAGATCTAGATAAAGAATTTTCTGTGAATTAAATTGAAATTAATAAAGAATTAAAAGTAACTGAAAAAATAATTTTGTAATATACCAAAGTGGATCTAACTAGAGAAATCAAAGTAGAAAGAGAAAGATTCTTTACTTAACTATTTACTAAATTACATCTTGAAGATTATATTAATTCTGATCACAAGTTATTTGGAAAAAATTCTATTATTTTCATCAAGTAATACTATAACCAATTAGCTTATTTGTGTAGCGCAGTAGATGCAGCGCAGTAATCACCGATCACTACTAAATCAGGCAAATAAGTAATTTATATTAATTAATTTAATTTATTATTAATTCTATTTTTAATTCATAT